CAATGGGGACCTATTTTCTGAAAGAAATAGGGGAATCTGGGGGTTTTATGAAAAAAAATCTACATTTTCTAGTACTGGTAACTACTATTTAGCAACTATAACAACCACCACACACTACTGTGGGCTGAGTAAATGTTTCTGCAGGTGAGATTCAGGATGCAAGCCCCAGTAGCAACCTTTGAGCAAGATACTCTATTGTGGGAGATTGTGGAGAGAAGCTGGCAGGGTCTCCAGCCGTGGGCAAACTACGGCCCGCGGGCCAGATCCAGCCCGTTTGAAATGAATAAAACTAAAAAAAAAAAGACAGTACCCTTTTATGTAATGATGTTTACTTTGAATTTATATTAGTTCACACAAACACTCCATCCATGCTTTTGTTCCGGCCCTCCGGTCCAGTTTAAGAACCTATTGTGGCCCTCGAGTCAAAAAGTTTGCCCACCCCTGGTCTAGCCTCTGGGATGAAGCAGGAAGGCGAGACTGGGGGAAGAGAAAGCCAGGGGACCAAAGACAGCAGAAATAGCCACATATGACAGCGACAGTTGTTTGCCTTACACCTGTCTCAGGTGCCATCGAAGTGATTCAGGGGAAGGTAGGCAAGAATGCCGTAGTGAACTAGTTCCTTTAAAAGTACATGGGCCTAGCCCTAGCCCTAGCTGGTTTGGCTTAGTGGATAGAGTGACCAGTTCGATTCCGGGCAAGGGCACATGCCTGGGTTGCAGGCTTGATCCCCAGTAGGGGCCGTGCAGGAGGCAGCCGATCAATGATTCTCTCTCATCATTGATGTTCCCATATCTCTCTTTCTCTCTGAAAAAAAAAAAGTACATGGGCCAAGTTTCTTGCTATGTGTGCCTGAGGCTCTCCCTTGTGAGAGTAAACAATTTGACCTTTGTTGATGTCATTGTTGTTCTCTTTGAGGCAGACAAATATAAGCAGTCATAACTTGTTCTTGCTACTTGGACAAGGATATGAAAAAGAGCCAAGACAACCCACAACTCAAGGCCAAATTCAGGGTCTGTTTTCTCTCCTCAAGTTAACATTAACCTTTAGGTAAACGGGGCCACTCCTCAAGGGCTTGGTAAACCAGAGCCGTTGTGGATGGAGGTCGAAGGGAGTGGAGCTGGCTGTTTATCTGGAAGGAAGGGAGCAGCCGAAGGTCAGGATTTCATGTACTTTAGCCTTCTTGAACTTGCCAAGAATGTGCCTGTTTGCTGGGAAAAATTGACTCTCAGGGCCCAGGTTTCATCGCTAAGTTGCACTGAGCACAACTCTTTCTTTCCCTGAGCAGTTGTCACCATAAAGGGACCTGGGTGTAAGTGACAGCCCTCTTCAGCAAGGGAGAGAAACAAGTGCCCATCCTTGGCCAACTTCATAATTCTGCCTCCCTTTTGGGGGTGGCTGTGAGCATCCAGTGAGATGGAATATGTGACAATTATTTGAAAAGTCCACATGCATATTTCTTATTAAACTAGTGACCCGGTGCACAGATTCGTGCACATTGAAAGGAAATTAATTAGAAGGTGCTGGTGGGGGGGGACTGGGTGAGATGGGCTGGACACGCCCTGGAGCCAACCTCTTGTGGTCTCTGAGGAGTGAGCAGGGTCCCTCTGGCAGGTGGGGTCCCTTGGCCTGGCCTGCGGGGATCGGGCCAAAACTGGCTCTCTGACATCCCCCGAGGGGTCCCAGAGTGCGAGAGGCCACTCTGCAAAGTTGCCGTGGTACAGGGTGTGGAACGCAAACCCAAGTGTGCAGTAAACCAGATTCAGGGCTGACAGTGCCCCAGTAACAACATAACCCACAGCTAAAGGTGGAATCGTGCGGCCTTGCAAGGAATTGGGCTCCCTCCTCTCTGGTTTCGGGGTATGTCACCCGAGAACCACCACAGCCAAGTCACTGCAGCTTGGCAGCTCCTGTATTGAGCGTCTGCCCCCTTGGTGGTCAGTGCGCGTCATAGTGACTGGTCGATGGTTGGACACTTAGCATATTAGCCTTTTATATATATAGACTAGAGGCCCGATGCATGAAATTGGTGCAAGGGGCTCGGCCCTCACAGCCACAGTGGCTTGTCTCGGCCCTCGCAGTCCCAGCTTCATCCAGAAGGTCGTCCAGAAGGACAACTGGAAGGATGTCTGGAAGGTCTTTAGGCTGTCGGGTCTAATTAGCATATTATGCTTTTATTATTATAGATTATTTATAGGTTTAGAGCCCCTCCCCCCAATTTTGGTTTGGGAAAGGGGCAGAGCGAGGTGGAAGGGTGTAGTCATGTTAAAAACATGGCCGTAAGGCATAAAATTGTCTCGAATTAGCAAGTCTGGGTACAGAGGAGAGGTGATTCCCAAGAGATTGTGTGACTAGTGAGCCTGCTGTAATTGCATATTGCTGGTTGTAGTCCAAAGGGTTGGAATCCCTCTGGGAAATGACATGGTGATATAAAGAAATAAATACAGCCCTAGCCGGTTTGGCTCAGTGGATAGAGCGTCGGCCTGCGGACTCAAGGGTCTCGGGTTCGATTCCGGTCAAGGGCATGTGCCTTGGTTGCAGGCACATACCCAGTGGGGAGTGTGCAGGAGGCAGCTGATCAATGTTTCTAACTCTATCCCTCTCCCTTCTTCTCTGTAAAAAATCAATAACATATATTAAAAAAAAATAAATATATAACATACATAAGCTACAGAATTTTCATATTCATTAACCTAGTACTCCTGGTTCTGGATATGTATTGTAAGAAAATAATCCCAAAGAAGTAAAAGGCTTTCTGTACATGAACGTGTACATTTTAGAGCTAGTTATAGAATAAAACTGGAAGCAACTTACATTGTTAACAATAGGGCAATGGTTGGTTAAATTCAGACACATTCCTTCAATGGGGTATTATTACACAACCATTAAAAACTAGAAATATGTAAAGTTGGCTATAACTGAAAGGATATTGATATGATATAAAGTGGTCAAAAAGCAGATACAAAATTCTTTACGTGTTATGGTTACAATTATATAAGAATAATTATGCTTGAAATTAATAATAGCCCTGCTGGTGTGGCTCAGTGGTTGAGCCCTCGACCTTTGAACCAGGAGGTCACTGGTTCGATTCCCAGTCAGGGCACATGCCCGGGTTGTGGGCTCCATCCCCAGGTGGCATGCAGGAGGCAGCCCATCAATGATTCTCATCATTGATGTTTCTATCTCTCTTCCTCTCTCTGAAATCAATAAAAAACATTAAAAAAACTTAAGAATAAAAAAGAATATACAAAAGGGCCAATGTTGCCATGTTAGGGTAGAAGAGCTAAAGGTGACTTCTCACCCTACCCTCTCCTAAACCTCCTTTAATGTTATAGTATTTCAAAAATAGTAAGAATAAATTAGAATAAATTAGAATAAAGATGTTATTACTATCTTTACAAGCAGTTGAAGAGTATGCGAGGGAAGAACAGGTAGCAGCAGCAAGAGGACTACAGGCATTAAAAGAGAGGACCGGGTGGTAGGAGGTTGGCCAGGGTTTGGAGGTGAGGAGAGGCAGGAGAACACCAGAAATAGGCTTGATGGTCATAGAAGTCTTAGGTGTGAACAGGATATAAATCAGTTCATTAGGCCTGGGCAGTTCTGGGTTACCCAGAGGCAAACCAAGCACCTTCTTAAGGACTAGTGAAGCAGGGGTATTAAAAACCATTAAAAAAGACTTGATATTTGAAATTCAAGCAGACATCAAAGAAGTCATCATGGGGGTGGAGGGAAGAGAATTTTGCTGGACTTCCTTAGGAGTATTTTACGATTGGTCTTGTTTTCACTTGGAATGGGATGGTGGGGGAGACACGACAGCCTCTTCTGTGGTTGGGGGTCTCCGAAGCTCTGCTTTGGGCCCTGGGCTTGAGTCAGCCCTGCACGCCATGAGCACCGGCTGCTTTCGCTGTCAGGACAACAGGTTGCCTACACGGGGTTTCGTGCAGTGCCCAAACATTGACAGGCCTCCTCAGAGCGCCTCATCTGCACCCCCTGGGACCGACTCCCTCAGCTAGGAAGGCTTGCAGCGGTTGTCAACCTGTGGGTCGCGAACAATGAAAATACATCCTGCAGATCAGATATTTACATGACGATTCATAGCAGTAGCAACATTACAGTTAGGAAGTAGCAACGAAAATAATTTTATGGTTGGGGGTCACCACAACATGAGGAACTGTATGAAAGGGTCACGGCCTTAGGCAGGTTGAGAACCACTGGCTTAGGGCTTGGTTCTGAGGCTGTCCCCAGACGCTCACTCACTTTAATAAGAAGATTGTTTACCAGGTGGTGCCAGGCATAGCAGCTCAGCCTGCTCCTGAAAGTCCCAGGAGGGAGAAACCACAGCCAGGATTGGCCGCGTGAGTCCCTCAGGCCATCGTCAGGGGCAAAAGATGGAATGAGCTCCCTCCTGGAGCCTGGCCCCAGCGGTAGAGGTGTGGTGGCCTGTGATAAACGGCAACCTGGTGCTCGGTCCCAGAGCACTGGTGGTCCACCGCCGTGAGCAAGAGAGGGGGTCCCCCTGCAGGTGGACCCAAGTAACTGCCGCTCTCTCTGCCTTCTTTCCAGGGGGGGCCTGTATTTCCCCAGAGTCTCCGCCCAGTCCAGGGAGATGCTCCAGCCTCAGCCTTTGGAAGGCAAGAAAGGGACAGAGTCAGAAGAGAGGGAGGACAGTTCCACGGCAGATCTGAAAGAAATCGTCACCTTGGCTTTGGTGGGAGAGAACATTGCGATACCAAAGGGGCTTCAGAATGCCCAGCAGCAAGGCAAGAAGAAGAGGAAGAAAAAGAGGTTAGGATTGAAAGATGGGGGATGGGGACCCACGTTGGTAAGAGCAGGAGGGGCCTGGGAGGAAGGGGGCCTTGGCTGCTCAGGCGCGGGGAGAGGAGAAACTGTCCGATGAGACTGTCAAAATCACACCACTTCCGGTTCAGATAAAAAGGAGCCACTCTAGATGATGTTTTCTAGAATGAGATGATGGTGCATGTCACCTAAAACCACACCTTGCCCGAGTCTTTGTTGCGTTTGTGTTCAGACTGCCTTTTATTATTATTTTTTAAAATGGCGTGTGGCGGGCTGGTTTTCCCGCAGCCCCACCTGGGATGGGATGTTCCTGGGTGTGGCCTCTTGTTCCGGCAAGTGTGTCTGTCTCTGTCTTGCTGCTCTTCTTTTTCTCTTTTCCAGATGATTGGTGATCAATCTGTGCAGCTGCCGATATGAGAGTGGTGAGCATCTGCATTCAAGGAATCCGCGATGGGGACCCGCTGGGTTCCCCCACCGGGTTGGGAAGGGTCACGCTTATGTATTTTTGAGGAAGAAAAGGGGTGTCTCCCAATCCTGTTCTTTGCTTCTCTCAGCTCATTTAACTATTTGAGGAAGTTGGGGAGCTCATTCCAAGAAAATAAGGGTTTGACCGCAGTGCTGTGTTATTAGGGGATCTGATTGTAGAGAAGGCAGCTGTTGCTACAATCAGTGGCTCTTTTTTAATTTTTAATTAAAAAAAAATATATTTCTTTTATTGATTTCAGAGAGGAAGGGAGAGGGAGAGAGAGAGATAGAAACATCAATGATGAGAGAGAAACACCGATTGGCTGCCTCCTGCACGCCCACCCTGAGGATCAAGCCCGCAACCCGGGCATGTGGCACTGACCGGAATTGAACCAAGGACCCCTCAGTCTGCAGGCCAACGCTCTATCCACCGAGCCAAACCAGCCAGGGCTCAGTGGCTCTTTTTTAGAGCACAACTTCCAAACGGGCAGTCCCTGAGCTGGAGATGACCTGTAGGCCTGCTTTGTTCTACAGAGCAGAGGTGTTGTCATTATTTTAATTTCAAATTTGGATGCTTTGGGCCGGCCCTGACTCTCCTGGTCACTGCAGGCACTTCCTCCTTTCCAGGCCCTTGAAGGCATTTGCGTTGGTGTTGGCATCAGCTCCCAGTTACCAGTGCTAACAGGGACAGGGGGAGAAGGATGTGAGAGCATGTGTGTGGATTTGAAATACATTGTGTAATTTTTTTTCTGTTAATTGACCCTACTAATTAAGCTTGGCTCTGGCTGATGTTAAGGATTTAGGTCAGTGATGGCGAACCTTTTGAGCTCGGTGTGTCAGCATTTTGAAAAACCCTAACTTAACTCTGGTGCCGTGTCACATCTAGAAATTTTTTGATATTTGCAACCATAGTAAAACAAAGACTTATATTTTTGATATTTATTTTATATATTTAAATACCATTTAACAAAGAAAAATCAACCAAAAAAAATGAGTTCGCGTGTCACCTCTGCCACTCGTGTCATAGGTTCGCCATCCCTGATTTAGGTTTATATTCCCTGAACATTCAGTGCTTCGTGTTTAGGGGAAAGCCAGACGCCCACTTCCTGGCCAGGGGAAGCCAGGGTGGTTAAAACATTCATCCCAGATAACCTTCTAGGGGATGATGGGGCATAGGCTGTATTTTTTTAAATAGCTTTCAACTCTTGGTGTTCCTTTCTTGGCGATGATGTCTCTAGGGCAGGGCAAGATGGCTTCAGTCCCAGGGAGCCGAGATGTCTCACTTCGGTGCTTAGTCTGGGAGCACCTGGGAATGTAACTTCCCCACTTTATGCTCCTCCCTCCCCTCCCGGGCTAATGGGCCTTTCTTTCTCCAACCCCCTGGCAGTGCGTAGGGCCGCCCAACAGTATGGCCTTCGAGAGGGAGGGGAAAACGACGACTGGACTCTCTACTGGACTGACTTCTCAGTGTCGCTGGAGCGGGTGATGGAGATGAAAAGTTACCAGGTATCTGGGTCAGAGCTGGTCCTCCGCATAAGTGGGGTCCTCACTGTCCCCCAAGGGTATCCCATGGGTACTCCCGTGTCCCCCATTGTTCATGAATTCCGGCTTCCGTTGCAGAAAATCAATCACTTCCCGGGGATGAGTGAAATCTGCCGCAAGGACTTGCTGGCCAGGAATATGAGTCGCATGTCAAAGTTGTTCCCTAAAGATTTCCACTTTTTCCCTCGGACCTGGTGTCTTCCTGCTGAGTGAGTGCCTACCCGAGCTCCCTTCTCCACTCCCCACCCCAATTCCATTTCCCACAGGATCTCCCATCTCTCTCTCCTGTTCAGGAAGAGAAGGGATATGGGGTGTGGCCAGGGTTCCCAGACTTTCCTCACTTGTCTGGAACGACTTTCAGGACTTAGTAGCAACTTAGAAGGAAATGTGTTTGCCATCAGGTCAACAGGCACCTCCGGATTTCATAGCCACCGAGGACCATTGAGTTAAGTGACTTCTCCACTGGTCACAAGGCTCCTTTGAGTTAAAGTGCAAAACAAGAAATATAGGAAGACTGAGATTTATAGTCCATTAAGTTTCTTTCTCTCTTCTGAATATACTTTCTTTTCATTTTAAAAAAATATATTTTATTGATTTTTTACAGAGAGGAAGGGAGAGGGATAGAGAGCTAGAAACATCAATGAGAGAGAAACATTGATCAGCTGCCTCCTGCACACCCGCTACTGGGGATGTATCCGAAACCGAGGTACATGCCCTTGACTGGAATCGAACCTCGGACCCTGATGCTCCATCCACTGAGCCAAACCAGTTAGGACTATACTTTTTTTTTTTTAAAATATTGATTTCAGAAAGGAAGGGAGAGGGAGAGAAACATCAGTGATGAGAGAGACTCATTGATCGGCTGCCTCCTGCACGCCCCACTCTGGGGATCAAGCCAGCAACCCAGGCATCTGCCCCGAACAGGAATTGAGCTGGTTCATAGGTCAATGCTCAACCACCGAGCCACGCTGGCCAGGCTGAATATACCTCCTTCAAAGTATGTTCAAAGATGGTATTTCCTCTCTCACACTCTGGCTGGAGTGGAGATGTTACAGAGGAAAAGCTGAGCCCAGAGTGGGGCAAGAGGGCGATTGACCCAAGGCCACATCACTGGGCTTGAGCCAGATTCAGATCTCCAGATCTCCAATCTGCAAACCAGAAGATGGGGTGTGCAGTATCTATCAGCACCCTGCCTGCGTTATGTCCTGTACAAGAGAGGTGTCATCACCCTCATTGTGTAGATGATGGAACTGAGGCTTTCACAGGTCAAGTCCTTGCGAAGGGTTACACTGGCAAGTGGTGTTGCCTGGGTTTAAATCCAGGCCCGAATTCCCTCCAAAGCCCATCTTCTCCCCACTGTGCGTGCTTTCCTGGCTCTCCTAGTACCAGGCCTCGGGGCATCTGTCTGTCAGTCCAAGGTGTTTGTCACATTAGATCGTTTTGTTTGTTTGTTTTTTAAATATATTTTATTGATCTTTTACAGAGAGGAAGGGAGAGGGATAGAGAGTTAGAAACATCAATGAGAGAGAAACATCGATCAGCTGCCTCCTGCACACCCCCTACTGGGGATGTGCCCGCAACCAAGGTACATGCCCTTGACCGGAATCGAACCTGGGACCTTTCAGTCTGCAGGCCGACGCTCTATCCACTGAGCCAAACCAGTTAGGACTGTTTGTTTGTTTTTTAATGTACAAGAGTTAGCCTTCCTTTTTACTGCTTCCCAGCTAAAAGTGTATCTCATTCCCTCCCTGTCTGGTAGCTGGGGAGACTTGCAGAACTACAGCAGGTCAAGAAAAAATAAGACATACATTTGTAAGCCGGATTCGGGCTGCCAAGGGAGAGGTATATTCATCACCCGGACAGTGAAAGAGATCAAACCGGGGGAGGATATGATCTGTCAGCTCTATATTTCAAAGGTACTTCTTCATGGTGATTGTTTATTTATCTCCACAGCAACCTCGGGCTGTAGCCCCACTGGACCGAATGAGGAATGAGGGAATGGAGGGCAGGGGTGAGGGTGACGCCGAGTCCTGCCTTCTGCCTTGGACTTTGTCAGCCCAAGCCTTCTGCCCTGATGTGACATGTGCCCGGGCCAGAGCGTCCCTCAGCCTTGCACCCTGTCGGTTGGCCTGGCTCTACCAGGCTGGTCCCTTGCCTCTAACAGATGACAGCTGGGAGAGGCCCCACTCATTGAGGAGAGGAGAGTGGTCCTGGATAGATAGTGGTAACCAGCTTTACTCCATGATGGGAGGTCAGAGGTCCCAGCGGGATAGCCCACTGCAGGAAGGGAGCCCTGCGGAAGTGTGCATGGAGGGGGCGGCACCGGCCAGCATTGCAGGCCAGCACTGCAGGGAGAACTCTTACAGAACTGCAGCAATAACATAGCCCTGGATAGGGACAGCATGTTCTTCATCACAGGCCGTTTTTATTTTTTTAATCCTCACCCGAGGATATGTTTCTATTGATTTTTAGAGAGAGAGGAAGAGACATTGAGAGAGAGAGAGAGAGAGAGGTGAGAAACAGCGATCAGTTGCCTCCCACACACGCCCTCACTGGGGATCGAACCCACAACCTAGGTATGTGCCCTAACTGGGGATCGAACCTGCAACCTTTTGGTGTATGGGACGATGCTCAACCAACTGAACCACCGGCCAGGGCATCACAGCACTTTTTAATGCTATTTAAAAAGTGTGGTTTAGTGACTTGTACAAGATCATGTGGCTAGTCACTGAGCCCAAACCCCCTTTTCCCTGTCCCCAGCCCTGGCCCAGTCTGCACTCTGTAGCAAGAGGCAATGTTGGCGCCAAGAAAACCAGACGGGGTGCTAATGACTTTCAAGTCTGCATCTCTCCGATGCTGGTGTAACTTCCATTCTCTCCTCCAGCCCTTTATCATCGATGGGTTCAAGTTTGACCTGCGGATTTATGTGCTGATGACATCCTGTGACCCTCTCAGGATTTTTACGTACAAGGAAGGACTGGCCCGCTTCGCCACGACCTCTTACTCCCACCCTTGCACAGACAACCTGGTGAGCTCAGGGACATGCTGCCTTACCTCCCTCCCTTAGTGTGATTAAAAAAAAAATCCTAGTTAAATCCACTAACACTTTCACTAACATTGTGGATTTGGCTACCTTGGCTGAACACTTCACACTTGCTGGGCTGCGTATTTTCTTTCCTTGAGCCCTCCCAGGAGCCCTCAGGAATAGGCATTATCACCTCCCGTTTACAGAGAGGAAATGAAAACCCAGAGAGAAGGAGGCCTTGTCCAAGGTCACAGAAGTAGGAAGAGATCAGCCTGGGATTCAAGGCCAGGTCTGCCTGACTGCAAAGCCAGAGCCACAGTTCCACACCCCGGGAGTGCCCTCAGGCAGGGCACCCCCCACTCTCAGGAGGAATTGGAGTTTCTCATACTCCAGGCTGTGGGATACCCCTTCCTTCTTCCTCTGTGCTGCCAGTTTTAGCCCTAAGACTCCCCCTGCCCCTTTTTTAAAAATTATTTTTATTGATTTCAGAGAGGAAGGGAGAGGGAGAGAGAGATACAATCATCAATCATGAGAGAGAATCATTGATTGACTGCCTCCTCGTCCCCCCACTGGGGATTGAACCCACAACCCGGGTATGTCCCCTGACCCAGAATCAAACCGGTGACCTCTTGGTTCCTGGGTCGATGCTCAACCGCTGAGCCACACCAGGCTGGGCCCCCTTTTCTTCTTTAAGCCCCAGGGGCCTCAGGAGGAGGCGGGAGGCCTGCCCTTCCTCTCACTCCATAGACTGCGTCTCTTCCCCCAGGATGATATCTGCATGCACCTGACTAATTACTCCATCAATAAACACAGTTCCAATTTCATTCAAGACTCGCTCTCTGGCAGCAAGAGGTAAGCAAGCGGCCTCACGTCTCTTCTCTTTCCCTGCCAGTCTCAGAACGGCGCTCTGGGATGCGACCCAAACCCCGTCAGTCCGCATCAGCGTTTCCATCTTGGGTCACATGCTCTCAGAAAATATTTCCTGGCCTCTAAACCCAGAACAGACTCCTTAGTCTCTGCCCTCTGGCTGTTAATCATTAAAAGAAGGCGGCATCGTAAACCCTAGGAGGGTGGGAGGAGGAGAGATAAACACGAACTGTTTCCCCAGCAGGGTACACACACACACACAACACACACACACACACACACACACACACCAAAACACACTCTGGTTACCGTTGGCCCTTTTGACATTCCCAAGCCAACAGATATTTATTGATTCTGGTCTGCTTGGAAAAGGCCATGCCAGACAGTGCTTCCTGAGCTGTGGTTGCCTGGTGTGTGGCTCCAACTGAGATTCTCAAATGGTGTGTCACGCGGCCCGGTGTGACCTGACCTGTGGCTAGCTGGCTTTCCGATTCTCCAGAAGAAGGGGAAACATGAGAGGAAGGCATGAGCATCTTCCCAAGCAGCTTTTATATGCCTGCTGTCATCGAATCTTGTCTCATTGGCGTTTTAAGAGAAAGGGGGACTGAAGAAGGTGAACATGACCCGACAAAGGAGAAAGAAAAAGGAAGTGTTTATGGAGGTCTCCCGTGTGTTTGGGCCTGAGCTGGGTGCGTTGGGTGCATTTAAAAAATACATTTTTATTCGTTTCAGAGAGGAAGGGAGAGAGAAAGAGAGATAGAAACATCAATGATGAGAAAGAATCATTGACTGCTTGCCTCCTGCAGGCTCCACACTGGGGATCGAGCCTGCAACCCGGGCATGTGCCCTGACCTGGAATCGAACCGTGACCTGGTTCATAGGTTGACGCTCAACCACTGAGCCACACCGGCCAGGCTGCATTGTTTCCCCCCATTACATTTTTACAACACCATGGCTGAGGCATTGTAAACTACCCTTTGTAGATGGGGAACTGTGAGTTAGGCGCCATCTCATTTTACAGATGAGCAAACCGAGTCTCTGAGAGGTTCAGTTGCCTCGGTCACACCGTTTTGAATGCCACAGCAGGACAAGAAGGTCGGTCTGCAGACTCCCAGGCACATGCTCCTTCTCCTGCACCAAATTCAAAGGACTGATAAGCAGGCCACCTGTTTGGCTCCAGAGCATCAGAGAGGCTCGGTGCAGGGGCAATCACGGTGTCCTCCGTGGCAGAGTCCCAAAGAGCAAATGGGAAATCACTAGGCGAGGCCTGCTTGAAGGGTGGCGTCGGGCTGGGTGGGGGTGATCTCCCTTTCTCAGCAGGCCTCTGGGGCAGAGACCGGGCCCTCTTCATCTCTCAGGAGCCTGGCACATAGCTGGTGTGTTCAATGGAACTGGCTAACCCCTGGGCATTAACATGACACTGTGCATTCATTGTGATGTGCCTGCATCATCCCGAAGAGGCTGTGTTGATTTGTAAGGGAAGCTCCCTCTGCCCTGCCCAGTGTGGAGCTGACTGGAGCAACCCCTCAGATGTTTCCTCAAAAACCTGTACACATCCTCTGACCTCTGTGACAGGGCGACCAGCCATCTCGGCTGGCCTGGGAGTGAGGGGTTTCCTGGGATGTGGGACTTCCCGGGGCAGTTGGTAACTCCATCTGTGGAAATACCCTTTTCCAAGTGGGCAGTCCTGACAGAAAATTTCTGTGTCTTTAGTGTCCCCAGAACCCCCTCAGATTGAAGTAGAACTCAGGCAGGAGTGTGTGTGTGTGTGTGTGTGTGTGTGTGTGTGTGTGTGTGTAAGTCTGTCTATTGATGAGAGAGAGAGAGAGAGAGAGAGAGAGAGAGAGAAACATCAACCCATTTTTCTACCCATCCATGCATTCATTGGTTGACCCTTGTGTGTGCCCTGACTGGGGTTGGAATCCACAACCTCAGCATATTGGGACGATGCTCTAACCAACTGAGCTACCCACCAGGGTGGTAGTTGTGTTCTTAAAAGGCTCCCTAAGTGCTTCTAATGAACACCAAAGAAATAACCACCAAAACAAAAGCATGAGGTAGGGTACTGGTTTCTTATTTTTTAATTTATCCACTAAGCTTTCCACCCAGGATACTCAGTCCCTGTCCAAGCCCACGGGGGTGTTCTGGGCCACAGTGAAAGTGCCCAGGCAGGCCTTACATGTCATTCTATCTGTGCCCACTCCAGGGCTGTGGCGGCTTGAGGAGTGTGGCCCTGTGGCTCCCGCACAACCCCCCTGAGCTGACAAAGTCCTGGTGCCCCCCTAGCTCTTGGGTGTCCATCCCTATTGGCTCTGGCACCCTATTTTCTACGGAAGTTTCTGGTTCTCGGCATGCCGTGGCCTTAGATGACCAGAGGTGGGCTGCCCAGCCTCATGGCCTGTGGTTCCCCTCCAGGAAGCTCTCCACCTTCAACACGTACATGGAGAGCCATGGCTACAACGTGGAGCAGATATGGAGAGATATCGAGGATGTCATCATCAAGACGATCATCTCCGCCTACCCCATCATCAAGCACAACTACCACACCTGCTTCCCCAACCACACACTCAACAGCGCCTGCTTCGAAATCCTGGGCTTCGACATTTTGTTGGACCGCAAACTCAAGCCCTGGTTGCTGGAGGTAGGGAGGCTGGGGCGAGGGGTGAAAACTGGCCCCTGTGTTTGGGATCGGCCAGCTTCAGGCTCATCTCTCTGCCCTCCCAGCGCAGCTAGATCTGTTTAATCAACTTAAAGGCACCAGTTCCTCCCCCGGTGCTTGCTGCCTGGGGCTCCTCCCTTAGCTGAGAAGTGGCCACCAGAGGGGGTTAGACGGCCAGGAATTGGAGAATTCCTTGTGCCTTTTGGAGGTCCACCCGGACTTGGAAACTGATCTCAGAGTGACAGCTCTACCTTTTGTAACACAGGGTCCTTTTACTTCCCAGAAAGGGGGTGCTCTTCATCCAAGCTGGGCTGATGATGTTGAAGATCAGGTGGGAGCTGCAGGCCTGGCTCTCAGGGGCCTGGACCGCTCCGTTCCCAGCCCGAACAGAGAGCGGCCTGGCGTCTGTGGCCACAGGAACGGGTGCGGAGCCGCGCAGTGATGTTCCTGCCTCCCCGAGACCCCAGGGTGATGGGAGGAGGAGGAAGAGAAGCTTCCGGGTGGCGGTCTCTCTTCCAGATTGTACTTGTGCCCGAGCAGTCAGTGATCCAGTATGCACTGGGAGGAGGGGTGAGGGGTGTGGGTGCAAGTCAGAGGTGCCAACTAGTGCCAGCTGCCAATGACAAGAGTCAGCCTTTGGGGTGGGAAAGCCCAGAATTACACATCAGATTCCCGAGGCCTTGCCTTTATTCCACTCCCAGTCCTTGTTCCCAGGTGTGGGTGGGAAGGAGAATATGGCTGTTTGGAGCTCTTACCTCAAGAGCAGAATTAGCTACCAGGAGCAAGCCTGCAGAAACGGCTAGAACTCTTCCAATGTCACGGAGTGCCTCTGAATAATATGGACTTTCCTATGAGCAGGAACGTGTCTTCTCCCTTCTCCCACCTGTCTCCCCCGCAAGCCCGGTCAGGATCTCCAATGCATCATTTCTTTCTACTCCCCACCTCCCCGCCTGGTCCTTTGGACCGCCCCTTCCATCTGCTCCAGGCACGTGAGAGGACACCACACACCAGATGGAGGGGAAACCAAAGACGGGGTACTCCCTGATGCCTCCCAAGAAGCAAGAACTAAAATAACAGCTAGTTAGCCCTAGCTGGATTGGCTCTGGATAGAGCGTCAGCCTGCGGACTGAAGGGTCCGGGTTCAATTCCTGACAAGGGCACATGCCCAGGTTGTGGGCTTGATCCCCAGTAGGGGGCATGCAGGAGGCAGCCGATCAATGATTCTCTCTCATCGTTGATGTTTCTATCTCTTTCTCCCACTCTGTTCCTCTCTCTGAGATCAATTTAAAAAATTTATATATAGTAATAAAAGCGTAATATGCTAATTAGACCAGACAGCCAAACGACCTTCCAGATGTCCTTCCAGACGAAGCTGGGGCTGTGAGGGCCGAGGCAAGCCGCCACGGCTGCGAGGGCCAAGCCCCTTGCATGAATTTCGTGCATCCGGCCTCTAGTATATTTATATAAAGAAATAAAATAAAAGCTAGTTACTCTAGAGGGGTTCTACCTCCTCCGTTCCTCACTGTGGCTCCAGTCCAGACCTTCTCCCTTCCCAGGGCCCCAAGGTGGGCTTAGGTCGCTCCCTGGAGGTGGTGTGTAGGCCTCTCTGCTTTTGCTCTGGACAGCCCAGCTTCCAGCTGCCGTCTTGCCCTCACAGGTCAACCACTCTCCGAGCTTCTCCACCGACTCCTGCTTGGATAAGGAGGTGAAGGACAGCCTGCTGTATGACACCTTGGTCCTGATCAACCTGGGGAGCTGTGACAAAAAGAAAGTCTTGGAGGAGGAGAAGCAACGGGGCCGGTTCCTGCAGCAATGCCGTTCCCGGGAGGCCAAGTATATTAGCACCCCTCCCCCCCAGGGACCCCATTTTTATGACTGGTCTGTCCTGATCCAAGTTATATACAATAACCTACTCGTTATATGGTCTTTTTAAAAAATATATATTTTTATTGATTTCAGAAAGGAAGGGAGAGGGAGAGATAGAAACATCAATGATGAGAGAGAATCATTGATCAGCTGCCTCCTGCACACCCCCCACTGGGGATGAAGCCCGAAACCCAGGCATATGCCCTTGGCCGGGATCAAACCCGCGACCCTTCAGTCCACAGGCCGATGCTTTATCCACTGAGCCAAGCCGGCTAGGGCGGCTCATTATGTGGCCTTTATGTCACTTTTCTGGGCCTCTGTGTTCTTTCTGTGAAATGGAGCGAATGATACATAAAGTTGTTGGGGGGAATGAAATGGTGTATAAAAGGCTTACTTACCATAATGCCTGGCATTATAGTTTGTGTTTGAGACTATTAAGAATTTTGCCTGGAGTTGGTGGGGAGGGGAGTCAGCGCTTACAAATGATTATCCTACTTGGAAAATTAGTTTATATTTGTGGAATGTGGCAGTTTGAATATTTTTATTGTGACTATTCCTTTGTCTCTATTTTAGGAGATTTAAGTTATAGGTATAACTATACATAATGGAGATAAGCTTATAAATATCAGATGAAGATTTAGGGATTACCAATACGAAAAGTAAAACCATTCCTTTTTTTTTTAAAATATATTTTATTGATTTTTTACAGAGAGGAAGGGAGAGAGATAGAGAGTTAGAAACATCGATGAGAGAGAAACATCGATCAGTCGCCTCCTGCACATCCCCCACCGGGGATGTGCCTGCAACCCAGGTACATGCCCTTGACCGGAATCGAACCCGGGACCTTCCAGTCCGCAAGCCGACGCTCTATCCACTGAGCCAAACTGGTTTCGGCTCCTTTTTTTTTTTTAACCAAAAGAAAGATTTGCCTGTCCTCCCCCGTGTTACTGTGTGGGCAGGAGCTAACGTGTCCCTGCTCCCCGCTGGGAAGCACTGTCCTTACAGAGGCCTCCTTCTGCAGAGTGAGTCTAGTGTCCGAAGACTCTGAGCCTGGGCAAGGAGATGCCTGTGTTGATTTTCAGACCCGCTGCGGCCCCTGCTCTCATGGGCGGAGCTAGCCCGGTCCTTCGAGATGAAACTTCTGGAACCGAGGCAATAGCATCTGTGTCTGGAAGGCATTTTCATGTGCACTGTCTTCTCTGTACGGAGGGTGGTGGGCAGTGGGTGTAGTATGGTCCTGTTTCGGAGCTAAGGAGGCAAAGACTCTGGAAGGGGAACTGACTTGTACTAGGTCACCTCGCTGGTAAGCGGCAGGTCTGGACCCAGAGCCCCAGGGGTGTGTGGCCTGGGGTTCCAGGATGCCCTCCACTGTGTAGCTTTCTCTAAACTCCTGGAGGAGGAGGCAGCATCAGCTAAGGCACAGCTAGGGCCCTCTCTTGAATCATTCTTTTTTTTTTTTTAATATATTTTATTGATTTTTTACAGAGAGGAAGGGAGAAGGATAGAGAGTTAGAAACATCGATGAGAGAGGAACATCAATCAGCTGCCTCCTGCACACCCCGTACCGGGGATGTGCCCGCAACCAAGGCACATGCCCTTGACCGGAATTGAACCCGGGACCCTTCAGTCCGCAGGCAGACGCTCTATCCACTGAGCCAAACAGGTCAGGGCTGAATCATTCTTCTTGTCACAACTTGGCCTGGGTAGCTCAGTGGCTCTTGGTTTTCCTGCTGTAAAAGGGGCTTATCATTCCTCCCTCGCTGACCTCCAGCTCCCCAGGGGGCTGTGAGGGAGAGTGAGGTCATCAGAGCTCATAAAAGCGCATCCAAGAAGCCCTCAAATTTAGCAAAACACAAGCTGTCATTCTCCAGAGAGTGACAGGGTAGGAGGGGCTGTGATTGGGAAGGTGGCCATAGTCTGCCTGGTCAGAACTAAGCCAAGAGGGAAAGGGGTTTTACTTGCAACAGGAGAGAATCTGATCAACTGTCAGAACTGTCAGAGAAGACTGTTCTTTTCTGTGTTTTTTTTTAAATATATATATTTGTATTGATTTCAGAGAGGAAGGGAGAGCTAGAAACATCAATGATGAGAGAGAATCATTGATCAGCTGCCTCCTGCACACCCCCTACTGGGGGTCGAGCCCGCAACCCAGGCATGTGCCCTTGACCGGAATCGAACCGGGGACCCTTCAGGCTGCAAGCCTATGCTCTATCCACTGAGCCAAACCAGCTAGGGCCAGAGAAGACTGTTCTAAACAGCTTTTAGCGTGCTCTATCCACTGAGCCAAACCAGCTAGGGCCAGACTGTTCTAAACAGCTTTTAGCACATATGACGGGATGGCTAGAATCCTCTCAGGGAAACATTTAGGAAATACCGATGGACCCCTGTTGTGTGCAAGGCCCCTGCCTGGCCCTAGATGATATCCAGCTTGGTCACGTTTCTTCCAAGCATCGAGCCATGTCCCAAAGCAGCCCTGTGTTCTGCTTGCCAACAGGATCAAGGAACTCAAGGGTTTCCAGGCCTTGCGTCGAGAGAAAACTGAGAAGTATGAGAAGGAAAACTGTGGAAGTTTCCACCTGATTTATCCCAATCTGACTTCGGAGAAGTATGAGAAGTTTTTCCAGGACAATAACTCCCTCTTCCAGAATACTGCCACCTCCAGGGCCCGGGAGCTGTATGCCCGGTAGGAAAGGGAAACATTTGCTTTAGTGTCACAAGGACCCGTGTTGTTAAGTAGCTATGTGGCTGTTTCTAGAAACTCACCCTTGAGACAGGCACCCCCCTACACACCCCTCTCCAGAATGCCCAGCCCCTCAGAGCTGCCTCCTGGGTTCCTGCAGGTATATAATCTGAGAGCTGGGAGGGACTCATTCCATCCAGTCCGGTCCCCGCCCACCACCTCATTTTATGGAAGGGGAGGATGGGGCAGAGAAAACATGATATAGAGTAATGACAGGAAAGAGACAACAGTCCGTCTCCTGATTCATGGGACTACATTATTTCCATTACATTATTGGCCAGAGGCCCAGGATATGAAGTGGTCCATTGTGGGAGCCCCTGACTTTGGCCTGTCCAGACCCTCTTTTCAGCACCTGTCATGTATGGGATCTGTCCTGCTGGGAGGTGGGGAGCGAGATAGGGTTGTGGTGGAGTGTGGTGGAGTCCCCTTCCTGCGTATTTCTCCTTGGATACTATTCCTAAGCCTGGGAATGACGTGGTTTAAGGGATGCCTCTCCTCCACCTCCTGTTCTGTGACCTTCAATCACGTGTGCAGACTGAACATGCCTGGGGAGGGAATGGGGAGTTCCCTGCTCTTTGCCCAGTCTTGTCCACCCCATTCAAAGCCCATCCCTAACCTACTGACACTCACTGTTCCTCAATGGGCAGGCAACTGATCCAGGAGCTGAGACTAAAACAGGAGAAAAAATCCTTGCAAACGAAAGAGAAGAAGGTAGAGATGCAGGGAGAATCGGCAGGCGAGCACGCGAGAGGCAAGGGGGCGAAGAGCTGGCAACAGACACAACAGCGAAAATACAAGGCCGCCGCCACCCAAGTCTCCAAACAAGTAAATCCGGATGGGAGGGGAGCACCCGTGCCCAGCACCCTTCCCCGGCTGCGGCCAATTCATACGGGGGGTGGGGGGATGCCGAGGAAGCCACTGCTCAGAGCTCAGAGGCACTGAAGGAATGGGCTGTACGGAGGGCTAGGCCACAGGAGGGGGACCCCGGAAGTCACAAGGAGCCCAGCGTCCTTCAGAGGACCCCTCCATCCAGGCAGAGAGGACGCTCACTGGTCTGTCCTTGCCTCCATCAGTAGGAGTTAGCAGCTGGGAGGGTGAGCACCATCCCCACGTAGGGAGCGGGCTCCAGGACTACATGTACTCATTGTTCCCAGCTCCAGTTGGGGTTGTAACGCTCTCTTCCAGGAGGCCAGGGGCACCGCCTAGAAAGGAGGAAGCAGGGAAGAGGTTCTGGGAGGCAGGACCCTCAGAACATTACATGGGGTGACTGACCCCAGCCTGGTCCTTCCAGCCTGCTCTCTGCTCAGAGTGTGGGCATTCCCCCACTGTGGGCCACGGTTGTCCTGTGATCTGCATCTCTGGATTCCCCCCATCTCTGCCTAGCTCTCTCTATAGGCTCAGTGGAGAGATTCAGTTGACTTTTCAGTCCATCTCCTTCTTCTCAATGACTCACCCAAAGAGACAGGATTAGAGCACGTGTTTGTTTGTTTCATAACTTTATTGGGGCCATAGACCCTCTGAGTATCTGATAAAAGCTATGGAATCTCTTACTATGACGTATACAAAGATAGTTTTTAAAAAAATATATATTTTATTGATTTTTTACAGAGAAGAAGGGAGAGGGATAGAGAGTTAGAAACATCGATGAGAGAGAAACATCGATCAGCCGCCTCCTGCACACCCCCTACTGGGGATGTGCCCGCAACCAAGGTACATGACCTTGACCGGAATCGAACCTGGGACCCTTCAGTCTGCAGGCCAACGCTCTATCCACTGAGCCAAACCGGTTAGGGCTACAAAGATAGTTTTAAGTGGTTCAAAGACCCCGTGAAACCATCCATGAGCTCTCTAGGAGTCCCTGAACTCGAGGTGAAGAGCCCCAGATTAGAGAGACTTCGGTACTGATTGCTTTCCTTCTCCCCCTCATCTCCTTTGCACCCACTCTTGGGGGCAGATGAATCTGGAAGTGGACGGAGCTGGGTTCCCATGAGCTGTGTGTTTAGTTTCCTCCTTTCCAATCCCTCCAGTCACTGACATTAGTGCCCTGCACGCCTGACATGCTCTTGGATGTCGGAGATGCAAAGAAAAATGATCCAGAGATCAGCCTCAACCAGGAGGCCCCCAAGAAGGAAGATGGCCCTGCTTCCCCCGGGCCTTCCTCTGCGAGACATTACTGCTCTCTCCCCGACCTGAGGAACTCAAGCCTTTTCAGCTGCTCTGGGCTGGATCTCAGTAAACCCATCTCCAGAATCAAGGAAGCCAAGTGTGCCTCTGTAGTGAGCATACTCCCCAGCCCCGTGGTAAGTGGAGCGGTCTACCCCCCGGGGGGCTGAGCTCGGGAGGCGGTGGTGGGACCCTTGCTTTCTTGTCCCTTCTCTGCCCCCGACTTCCTATGGGTCCTTTGAGTAAGCCTCCTTCCCTCCCTGGGCCTTGATTTCCCCACGGCGATGCCCAAGTCGTGGAATGGCACAGCTGCTAGGAATAGAGGCCTATACTTTTAGGGCTGTTAGAAAGGCTGGCCCAGGCATCCCCTCTTTTTAGGCAGGGCACCTCCTCGGGCTACTGTAACAAATGACCACAAACTTGGTGGCTTAAAACACACATTTATTCTCTAGAAGTCTGAAAACAAGGGTCAAGTGGCAGGAAGTCACAGAGAGAATAAGTATTAGGGGGTCACTTCACCCTCTGGGGACCACAGCTCCTTCACCTGGAGGTGAAGTTTCCCCTCTCTCAGAACTTTAGATTCCTTAGGCCCTGCTGTTGATTCTGCTGCTATCACCGCATAAATTCATCACATCATCACCTCAGGATTTCATGGATGTGGGGAGTGGAGAAAAGAAAAGGAGGTCTTTGAGCCAAAACTCTAGGGCTATTTATTTATTTATTTTTGTCTGATATCATTTCTCTTTAGCCTGAAAAACTCCCTTTAGTGTTTATTGTAATGCTCCCCTCTCGGCTGGTGATGAACTTGAAAAAGCCTTTATTTAGCTTTCACTTTGAAGGATATTTTTGTTAGACCTAGAATTCTGGGTTAACATTATTTTTCTTGCAACACTTTAAAAATGTTGTTCCAAAAAAAAAAATAATAAAAAAAATGTTGTTCCACTGTCTTCTAGTTTTCTTTCTTTTTTAGAGATTTTTAATTGATTTTTAGAGAGAGAGGGAAAGGGAGAGAGAGAGAGAGAAACATCAATGTGAGAATGGAACACTGATGGTTGCCATGGGGGATCGAACCTGCAACCAGGCATGTGCCCTGACCGGAATTGAACCGGCAACCTCTCGGTGGATGGGCCGATGCCCAACCAATTGAGTCACACTGGCCAGGGTTCTTTCTTTTTTAAAAATTCATAACATTGTCCCCTGTATGCAATGTGTCACTTTTTAATGGATGCTCTTTATCTCTGAATTTAACCAGTTTGATTATGATGTGTCTGGGTGTAATTTTATTTGTATTTATCCTATTTAGGATACTTGAACTTAATGGTTTTGTAAATTGAGGACTTTCACCATATTTGAGAAGTTTATAGCCGTTGTTATTTCTTCAAATATTTTTTCTGCCTTATTCTGTTCCTTTCTGTTTTACTTTCTGTCTCTATGACTGCTCTAGGTACCTCATATAAGTAGAAATATACAATATTTGTACTTACATGTCTGGTTTATTTCTCTTAGCATAATGTTTTCAAAACTCATTCATGTTGTATTATGTATCGGAATTTTCTTCTTTTTAAAGACTGAATAGTATTCCATTATATGCCTATACCGCACTTTATTCATTCATCTTTTGGTGGACATTTGGCTACTTTTGGCTACTGTGAATAATGTTGCTGCGATCATTGGTGTACATAGTTTTTTACAAGGAGTTAATAACTTATTTTGAGTGTATACCTAGGCACAGAATTGCTGGTCACAGGGTATTTGTAATCTTGTTTTACTAAGTATTTCTAGATGATTCACCAGAATGACTGTCTGCATTCTCATCAGCAGTGCATGAGAGTCCCTGTACCTCTGCATCTCAACAGCTTTCTAATTTTTGCTAATCTAATAGCTGTAGAATAGCTATTTCTCTGATTACTAATCTCTAGTGTTTAAAATCTCTGTCACATTTAAAGACCTCCAGAGGAAGCTCTGTGGACATCCCCACCATATTCTGCTCCAGTGTTTAACCCAGTGGTTGGCAAACTCATTAGTCAACAGAGCCAAATATCAACAGTACAACGATTGAAATTTCTTTTGAGAGTCAAATTTTTTAAACTTAAACTATATAGGTAGGTACATTGTTATTAACTTAATTAGGGTACTCCTAAGCTGGCCTTTGCTAAAAACGTCCTCAATCTGATTGAGGTACGTTCGCTGAGGTCGACCCCTTCCAACTCTCCCATC